ATTTTTTTTTTTTTTGCAATTTCTGGCCAGGCCTGGGTTTGAACCCACCACCTCCAGCATATGGGGCTGACACCCTACTCTTCTGAGCCACTGGCACCACCCCAAATATTTTATATTTTATATTTTTAAAACTGAAAGATGAATAATGCACATACATGGTAAAAACATAATAATAAGAAGAAAAGGAATCTCTAAAATTTCAAATGGGCATACTGCAAGGGTAATTTTCAATCTGCCCCATTTCAGCCTTCCCAAAAGTAAAAATCTACACATATTCCCACATTTCAGTAAATATATTAATGGTGGCACACTAAACCCGCTGGTTTTCACCCGGCTTCTTTTTTGTAATAGTGGATTTCATCCTACACAATACATCCCATTCTGTTTTACGGTTGCATAGCTTGCCCTTATGTGAATGCATAGTTTACTTAATCCACCTCTACAGGTAGTCATTTAAACTGTTTCTGGCACTTGCTTTTACAAGCATTGTGACAATTGTGTGGATCTGCAGCCATGGGCAAGCCTGTCTACAGGATAAATTCCTACAAGTGGAAGTAGAGAATCAAAGTTGTCTTGTATATTTTGGTAGGTTCTGCAGAAGAGGCTGTGCAGCTTCACAAATTTCCCTACAACAAGGTCGGAGAGCCTCTTTGCCCACACGCCTCTGGCCCCAGCTAAGATCAGAAACTGTCCTCCAACATCGCCACCTGCTGGCCATATTGGGCAATACGGTCTCCCTACACCCAAGCCAGGACGGCTCCCAGAATGGAGGGTCCTCAGTAATTATCTGACTCTCCTGGAGCTCCTGTACAGAGGAAAAAGCCATAGAGAAACCTACTTTTTCCTGCAGACACAGTCAGTGCTAGGATGTGGCAGGTGGATCCTAGGATCCTTTACATACAGGATTTTGCAATCAAATAGACAGACCAAGTTTCCATTTTATTGGCTCTGCCACCCACCAGCTGTGCATCTGTACAAAGAGAGTGATTTCACCTCTCTGAGCCTCAGTTTCCCACGTGCAAAATGAGGATGGGAATACCAACCTCCCAGCATTGATGTGAAGAGTCCATAAAATAATGAAAGGCCTCTTAGAAGTTACAGAGCTCACAAAGAGGAAATGCAGGTGGCTAGTGAAACATAGATGTTTCATCACAGTAGCCAGCCAGATGCCTCGTTTTGCCCATCAGATTGACAAGGATTTAAAGGCCAACAAAGCACAGAGGCAAAGTAGTGCGAGAATGCAAATTGAAATAAGTTATGTGCCTCTGCCCATCAGATTGGCAAACAAGTGGAAAGACTGACACCATCTGGCGGGGCGGGCTCTTCCCCCGGGCAGACACTTGATTGCTCTGTGGTTTTAGAAATGATGTAGAGGAAGCTGATAAAAATGTTAATGTGTGTAGCCTTTGACCCACCAAACCCACTTCTAAGACCCTGTCAAAGAGAAATGAAATCACCAGATGGTACAACAGATACGGGACAATGAAATGCTATTTTTAAAAAATTAAGAAAGACAGGTAGACAGAAAGAAAGAAAAAGAGAAAGAAAATAAACAGATATCCATGAGTGGGAGATAATTAACTAGATCCTAGAACAGACATGCAAGGGCTAGAAAGATGTCTGTATTATTATTTTTTTTATTTTTGAGACAGGGTCTCGCTCTGTTCCCTGGGCTAGAGTACCATAGTGTCATCATAGTTTACTACAACCTCAAACTCCCGGGCTCAAGAGATCCTCCTGCCTCAGCCTCCCAAGTAGCTGTGACTACAGGCTTATACCACCATGCTTGGCTGATATTTCTACTTTCTGTAGAGACAGAGTTTTACTCTTATGCACGCAGGTCCTGACCTCCTGCCCTTAAGCAATCCTCCCACCTCAGCCTCCCAAAGTGCTGGGAGTTTTAAAAGCCATTCAAATCTTAAAACAAGAAAAGGAACATATATGCAGAAAGATTCTCAGGCCCCACTCCAGATGTACTAAATCAGAATTTTCACCAGGAACTGGAGGTCTGGTCCAAGCCCTACCTCCCTATCATTGTGCTTGTGTATACCCCGTGACGGGGCTGGGGGGAGGCGCTAAACCCAACCCAGGACGGCTCCCAGAATGAACGGCTCCACTCACTCCCTCATGGGGCATTAGGATCTCCTTCTTCCTGTGTGGCCCCGATCCTTCACCTTGAGCATGGACTTCCCCCTGAGTCTTTCCATCCTCCTTGCCGCCCACTGGGACCCTCATGGTGCTCACCCGCTGACAGAGAGCCACGAGCCAGTTTGGGGAGCAGTAGGTCGAGCTGGCGGAAGGTGTGGAAGACCTCAGCTGAGTGGACACGGTCCTGGGCCTGGCTCTCATGGGTGCGTGGCAGAGCCTCAATTCCATAGAGAGTCAGGTAGCCGGCTCTGGGGGTGAGAAACAGCAGGTCAGAGGTCGCCCTTGGGCACTCGCCACCAAACCCACCTGTGGCAGCTTCTTTTCATTCAGGGACCTATCAAGCATGAGCCCAATTGTGTGCTGGGAGCTCTTCTGGGCACTGGGAGTCAGCAGTGAATAAGACATACAAAACTTCCTGTCTCCAAGGAGCTGACACCTGAGCCCGGGGAGACAGACCATAGGCAAAAGAAATGAGTAAAGCAAGTAACGTGTAGCTGGTATCCAGTGGCGCCATCAGACGGAGCTGGGCAGCAGGCCAGGGAGGATCAGGGCCGCAGTGTCAGACATGTGGAAAGGAGGGGGCTTGCATCAAGCTGACCCCTGAGGGATGAGGAGGAGCCATGGAAGAGGTGAGGGAGGGTTCGAGGCAGCGTGAGCAGCAAGTGCAAATATCCTGGGGTGCAAGGGAGCAAGTGTTGAGGAGCTGTGAGGAGGCTGATGAGGCTGCAGACAGCGTAAGGGGACAGTGGTGAGATGGGGGCACACAGCAAAGGAGAAACTGGTATCCAGAGAGGGACTCAATGAGGGCTTCCTGGAGGAGGGGTCTTCAGATTTTTTAAACAGGGGGCCAGTTCACTGTCCCTCAGGCTGTTGGAGGGCCAGACTGCGGGCCCCGGGAGAGTCAGCTGCTAAGCAGGACAGGCAGCAGCGGCAAAAACACCCGGCGGACTGGATAAATGTCCTAGGCAGGCCACATGTGGCCTGTGGGCCACAGTTTGAGGACACCTGGCTGAGACTCACAGGATAAGCAGGAGGAAGCACAAGAGGAAGGTTCTGGGACAACACCACAGCCTGTGCAAAGGCCAGGACTGAGGGAGCAATGTGCCTGGTAGGAGAGCCACCAGGGATGGCTGGTGCAGACGCTGGAGCTGGGGCATGAGCAAGGGGGCAGGAGGGCCTGGGGCTGCCAGGACTGGGCACACAGGGCAGGGCCCTGCATTGGTGAGGAGGTCAGGCTTGACCTGAGGGACCCTGGGAGCTCCGAGTAGGACAGGACCTGGCCAGATATGAAAACGATAGGACACGGGAGCTACCGTGTGCCCTCACTGAGGTGTGTACACACACGTGCACACACATACATGCACACACTCACAGAACCATGCTCAGAGGACACATCATCACCCCTAACCTTAAAGCCCCAGAAGTCCAGCCCCCACCCAGCCCCTTGGCCTTATCCTGAGAGGGAAACTACAGGTTTGCACTTTGTCCACATGGTTAGAGGGGTTGAGGCTTCAGCAGGGAGACAGCACTGAAGCCCCACCCCCACCCCACTCCTGCTTCCCCTGGTCCTGCCAGAAGAGGGATTGGGAAAGTAGAAGCAGGAATGAGGGAGGCCTGCCTAGTCCCCACTGTGTCCTCACTTACACGGTGTAAGCAAAAAGTGCAGGCAAAAAGTAGACCCTCAGCAAATACTGAATGGATGGCTGGATGGAGGATGGATGGATGGATGGAAAAAATGAATGGGTAGATGAACTGGTGGATGGGAGATGGAAGAATGGAGGAATGAGAGGGTGGAAGGGTGGATGGGTAGGTGGATGAAGGATGGATTGGTAGATAAAGAAGTGGATGAATGGATGGATGGATATATGGATGGAGGAGTGGGTGGTCGGTGGGATGGGTGGATGAATGAGAGGATAGATGGATAGAAGGAGGGATAAATGAAGGGATGGATGGACAGGTAGGAAGTAATCCTAAGAACACTGATCTTGGGAGAAAATCATGGTGTCACCAGGATTCTGACCTTGGAGTCATTCAGGCCATTGTCCTTCTTGCCCCTACATCCCATTCGCCTCCCCCTCATCCCCCGAGGCTTCCACACCCCAGGGAAGGAGAGTACAGGACCTGCCCACCCTCCACGGACTAAGAGGAAGCCATCCCTCCTTCAGAGGAGCTGAAACGCTCCTTCCAGAGTCTAAGCTGTCAGCCCTGCTTAAGCCTCTGCATCAGCCACAAGGACTCCCTCCCTCCTCCCTCCAAGCACATCAGGCCCAGGCCCCTCTTCTCCAGACTGAGGCCTTCTGCTTCCTTAAGGCAGGAGCCGTGACAGTGCAAACCGTAAACTGGACGCCGTCCACAGACATGGTTGGTTTTTTTTTTCCTTAAGTCAATAGTTTTACTAAAAACAATCTGAACCTTCCTTCAAATATTTGGGGAAACTCATAAAATCCAACCTCCCACTCAGCTCATCTCAAAAAAGGAACCTGGCACCCCAGGGCCCACAGTCCCACCTGACAGCTGTGGGCAGGGACAGAGTTACGGCTGTCCCTTATAGAGAGACTCACACTTGTGAAGCCACCATCATCTTCATGGCACCCTGTGGTCCCCACGACACTGCAGTCAAGCACTGGTTGTCATTTATCACCCAACCTGCACTACTGTTTTTTCCCAAACAGAGAACCTTTTCCCTGTACATGTATTTCTACCCCAAACTGCAATACAAAAAAACCACAATAAATAAACAAACCCAGAGGACCACGAAGTTTCACACGGTAGAAACGAAGGGCCTTTCATGGGACCTCCTGACAAAGCCACATGGCTGAAGACGACACCCACACGTGTGATGACACTCATGACCCACATGAGACACTGGGTGCCATGAAGAAAAAAAAAGCCAGACCAACTAGATCATAGGAGAGGGCCACCATACTAACAGGGTGTCAGGAAAGGGCACCCTGAGCAGGTGGCCTCGGGATGAGGTGTGAAGGATATGAGGTGGGAGCCGTGCAGATGTGAGGGGAACAGCATTCCCAGGCAAGGGAACAGAAACTGCAAAGGCCCCACACGGGATATGCCGAGGCTCAAGGAGGACAGCGTGATGAGAAGAGGCCAGGGTTACAGGATGAGGACAGACTGGGACTCCGGATGTGATGCTGAGGAGGCCAACACAGGACAGGGTGGAAGGTCTGAGAGGTGGCACCTGCAGGTGGCACCTCCATATCTGGTCCCTGCCATCTGGTGAGCCTACTCCCTTTCGATTGCAGGGCTGCAGGTGGCCCTGACAAGACCTAGAGCAGCCACCCCAGAGCCAGGTGCAGCAGCCCAGGCCTTGGGCCCTGCAGACACAGGGGTCTGCGTCCACTTCTCCTAGCCCAGTGCCTACAGTGCCAAGAGGCCTCATCGGCCTCAGCTGCCACCCTATCCCCATCTCCCCCAAACCCACTGCTTCCTCTCTGACTTCTTCACCCACACGAGGACACATGGTGGCAGGAGCTAGGAGACCTTGGGGTTACCCTGCTGTGAATTTGCTGGGTGGTTTCAGCTGCCTCTCTCTGAATCTCAGTCCCCATCCCACAGTGACAGGGCAGACCAGACCAGTTCCACCCAGACCAAATATAGCTCGTGATGATGTTTGCACCAGTCCAGGGCGAACCCAAGAGAATGGGATCATTTATATGCAGAGGTGGTGGCTAAGAGTGCAGACTCTGGAGCCAGCCCTGCCAGGGCCCCAACATGGGCCTCTGAGCAGATGACTTAGGCTCCTGCAGTCTCAGTTTCCCCATCTATCAAGTGGGGTGTGTAAAGTCCTAGCTTCTGGGAGCCACTGCAAGTATTAAATGAGTTGGCACGTGCTGAGCCATAAACAGACCCACATGCTCATGTACGTCAGCCAGTGACTGCCCTTCATTCTAAAACTGTTGCTGTAATTTTTTGAAGGGGTAGAAATGCCCTTTCTTTCACAAATGCTGGTAATAATAGTGGTTAATGATACCACTAAAAATCAAGGAGCTGCCCTTCACATCATCTTCGCTTCCCCACCCACACCAAACCCTCTCCTCCCCGCTATCTCCAACTGTTACCCACAACCTCACCACCTCCCTGGGCTACCACCTTTCTCTGCCTTAATAGGGCAGGCTCCCAATGGGTCCTCCACCCATCTCAGGCCCACCCCCCACCTCCCATCTATCCTCCATCTAACAGCCAAAGGGGCTTCAAAACTCAGATCAAGCCGTTCCCTACTCAAACCCCTGATGTTACCCATCTTACTAAGAATGCATTCCAGAGCCTTCTCCAGCCTTGAGTCTCCATGAGCCCTGCTTCTGCCAACTTCTCTGACCCCATCTCCATCTTCTCCCCACAGCTCATAATGCTCCAGCCACACTGGCCCTCTTGCCAAGCTTCCTCCCACCTCCGGGCCTTTGCACTTGCTGTGTCTACTGCCTAGAATTGTGGCATGACAGGTACCTCGTAGTTACTTCTCAACGCTGAGGCCAAATCCTCAGAGAGGTCCTCTGTCACCTGTCTGGCTAAAAGAACCCCTCAGATGCTGTCATCCCATCTGTGCATCTCTGTCATCATGTTTATCCCCCTCTGACATAACCATAGTCTTCCTCGCCCGCTGAGTGTCAGTGTGTGAGTTTGGGGACTTCATCTGTCCCGGTCCTGCTGTGTTCCCAGAGCCTGGCATGGGACCCCACACTACTGAGGAAAGGGATGTTTGGTTGTGCAGTTTTTAACATGAGTTCGTGTGATCTGAAAAAAGGTTAAGGTCCTGGTTTGGGCACGCATTTTGTTTTTCTGCTCTATGAAATCCCAAAGTCTAGAAGCCACAGGACAAGATGGTCTCTGAAGTTGCACTCTGCTACTCCTTTTCTGGGTGACCCATAGGTCCCCTTTTCAGCCATTATCTCATTTCACAACTCCTCAGCCAGGTCAGATGAACACCTGGTGTCCTGGGTGTGCAATGACTTCCCTGCAGTCTTTGCTTTGGGCAAAATCCTCACAGTTCACGTGGCCACGGCTCATGGCTGACACAGGGCTAGAGTACCAGGCCTTACCTGAGCAGGACGCTGTAGGAGAAGTCAAGGAGCCCCATCTCATGCCAGCCACTATCTGCTTCTGTGGCATCACCCAGCAAAACAGTGCGGAGGTTGGTATACATGGCATCTGTGAGCACCTGGAGGTCTCTGTGGAGAAGAGTCCTGAGGCAGAGAACAAAAGTGTGAGATTTTGGCTGTCGACAGGCACCTCCCTCCCAAATCTCAGTAACCCAAAGTTCAAGTTCCCCATCGACAATGGGACCCTGTGGAAGCCTGACTTAAATATGATGGTATGATAACTATCATCATCAACAAAAGGATAGACTCTGGGAGGCTGAGATGGGTGGAGGGCTTGAGCTCACGAGTTAAAGACCAGCCTGAGCAAAAGCAAGACCCTGTTTATACTAAAAATAGAAAAACGAAGGCAAGAGGATTGCTTGAGCCCAAGAGTTGAAGGTTGCTGTGAGCTATGATGCCATGGCACTCTACCCAGGGTGACAGCTTGAGACTCTGACTCAAAAAAACAAAAACAAAAATCAAAGACAGATACCATTTGTTGTGCCAAGCATAATAATCTCATTTCATTTTATGACCAACCTAGGATTATAACATCCATTTTCTAGATGGAGAAACTCAGAAGAAGAGAGGAAAGTGACTTACCCAAGGTCACATAGGTAGTAAGTGGTATGACTGGGACTGAAACCTAGGTCTGCCCAACTCTAGAGTCTGAACTCTTTTTTTTTTTTTTTTTTTTGAGACAGAGTCTCACTATGTCACCCCCAGTAGAGTGTTGTAGCATCACAGCTCACAGCAATCTCAAACTCTTGGGCTTGGGCTTAAGTGATTCTCTTGCCTCAGCCTCCCAAGTAGCTGGCACTACAGGTGCCTGCCACAACGCCCGGCTATTTTTTTGTTGCAGTTGTCATTGTTGTTTAGCTGGCTCAGGCTGGGCTCCAACCTTCCACCCTCAGTGTATGTGGCCGACGCCTTACCCACTGAGCCATGGGTGCCGTCCCAGAGTCTGAACTCTTAACCAAGATAATCTGTCCCTCCCTGGGGACAGATTGTATAAGGGACCCACAGACTTCTAGAAGGGAAGGAACTAAAAAGCAATTCATTTCTCCCTAAAGTCAAAAGATAGGAAGATGCATTCGGATAGTTATGGTGTCCCCTGACTAAGGACTACTATAAGACATCACTTCCACTGAATGTAACATGAGGAAAAGGAAATCCGTGCTGGTGACATGGCCTCATCATGTAGACCTATGAGTCTGAGGAGATGGCCAGCCCAGGGGAGTGTGTGGCAGAAGCCAGAGTCCCTCTGTACTGAGCCTCCATGCTACACAGTACCTTCTACTCTGAGCCATGACTGAGGATTTGGTTAGAAGCCAAGAAAGGGAGATTTATATCTAAATCTCAGCCCCTTTTGCTGCTTATGAAGACCACAACGGGCACCACTTTAGCTAGTGAACAGAGTGTCCATGGGGCTGTGCACAGCCAATGTTCAATAGCGACACCTTGTGGCAGCAGCAAGACATCACAAGACATCACTCCAGTGGGCGTGCACTGTTCAGACTCCAGTTCTGTCACCACCTGGAGACAGATCACTGAAGGTTCATCAGACTGTGTGAATTCAGCAGAGGTGGACACAGGGTCTCATCTGTCTCAGTATTTCAGGAGAATGAGAATGGGCTGCAAAGGCAGCAGACGTAGGTTCAAATCCTAGTCCCACTAGTTACCAGCAGTAGGCCTTGGCAAGTCACTTCACTTCTCAGAGCCTCAGTTTCCTGATCTATAAAGCATGGGTAAAAATGGGGGCTAAGGTGCAGATATGAAAGTGTGCCCATCAGACACCTGGTATAACAAATGGTGGTTGGCTCACTCCTATACCCATGCCCATCTCGGACACTGACCAAGGAGGGCATAGTAACTCTTCAGATGTCTGCTGACTGAACAGAGTAGATGTGCTCACGTGTCCTGTTGTGGGTTTAATTATCCTTATGTTGCAGAAGTTGCACCACCTCCTATGTGGCCTAAGGCAAGTCATTTCTCCTCTCTGAGCCCTGCTGTGCTCCTCTCTGCAAAATGAAGCTGTAAGTTACAGAGCCTCCAGTGTTGCTATGAAGACAAATGAGATGGTACATGATGCCTGGCACAGGGAATGGATCAAAAATACTCATCATGGGTGGCGCCTGTGGCTCAAAGGAGTAGGGCGCCGGCTCCATATGCCGGAGGTGGTGGGTTCAAACCCAGCCCTGGTCAAAAATTGCACACACAAAAAAATACTCATCACCCCACCTACTATCCTTCACTTTACAGATGAGGAAACAGAGGCTCAGAGAGGAGGAGAGATTTGTCCAAAGTCACAAATCCAGGAACTGATGGAGCTGGGACTTGAATCTGGGTCTAACTGTCCCTGGTCTCCTCCTACTAAAATCAGGAGGAGAGGAAACAGAAATGAAAGGTAGAGTTCTTCTTTAGCTCAGTTCTTTTGAGCTGCTTTTGTCTTGTGTTCTCAAGACAAAATGCCTTTATGGACACTTGGTGTGGAACCAACATGGCCACCTAAGTCTTGGGCCACACAGGTAGAAGCAGTTCACCCACCACAGCCCACCCACATGGGTGCCATGTACAGCCACTCACGGTTTCAGCCTGGCCTTTTCATCACTGGGGTTGTAATGTGGAAGCTGCACATCGAACATCCTCTCCATGAGGAAGACAGCATAGCCGTGAAAGTCCAGCCTGGTGCGAGGCTCCCACACCACTGTGTCATAGGAGTGCGGGTCCAGGAGGATGGTGACATATCTGCCCCCCACCAGGATCTGTGGGATGTTGGCAGGGGTAGAGTGAGTAGTGTCACTATGAACAGCAGCTGCTCCCAGGGGTCAAGGGCACTGTCTCTACCAGGCACTTAAGAGACAATGTTCTCTTATCTATCCCTCATGACCAACCTGTGAGATGGGGAATATCACTCACATATTTGTAGCTGAAAAGTAAGGCTAAGAGAAGGTATTCATGTGCTCATGATCTCATGGCTGTGAAGTGGCAGAGCTGGGACTAGAAGTCAAGACTTTTTTTTTTTGAGACAGAGTCTCACTATGTCTCCCTCAGTAGAGTGCTGTGGCGTCACAGCTCACAGCAACCTCAAACTCTTGGGCTTAAGTGATTCTCTTGCCTCAGTCTCCCAAGTAGCTAGGACTACAGGTGCCCGCCACAATGCCTGGCTATTTTTGTTGTTGTTGTTGTCATTGTTATTTAGCAGGTCTGGGCCAGATTCAAACACACCAGCCTCGATATATGTGGCTGGCACCCTAACCACGGAGCTATGGGGGCTGAGCTTTTTAAAATTCAGGACTTTTTAAAATCAAAGCACTGCCTATAGCACAGTGGTTATGGCACCAGCCACATACATTAAGGCTGGCAGGTTTGAACCCAGCCCAGGCCAGCTAAACAACAATGACAACTGCAACAAAAAAATAGCCAGGTATTGTGGTGGGCACCTGTAGTCCCAGCTACTCGGGAGGCTGAGGGAAGAGAATCACTTAAGCCCAAGAGTTTGAGGTTGCTGTGAGCTGTGATGCCACAGCACTCTACCAAGGGTGACAAAAAATAAATAAAAATAAAATCAAAGGCTGTGTTCTTTATCACCTCACTCTGAAGCACCTGCCACTGTTATCTTGGCTGCTGCCATATATCCAGCAGCCAAGAGAGAAGGCCCACAGAAGACAGCAGGTGGATATCATGTGCATCACGGATGGATATCATGTGCAGCAGGTGGATGGAAAAATGGAAGGATGAACAGATGAATGAAAGGGAAGGTTGTTGTTGGGTAAACGCCAGATGGATTGTAGATGGGTGGGAGGAAGGAAAGAAGGAACGGAGGTAGGTAAGAGGAGAGAGACAGAGGAAGAGAGGGAGGGAAGGAAGGAAGGAGATCATTAGCTAAATGCTAGTAGATGGATTATAGATGGAAGGAAGAAGGGAAGGTAGGGAGAGAGGGAAGGAAGGAGGAAAGAAGGGAGGAAGGAAACTGTTGGTAAATGCCAGTGAACAGAAAGTTATATGGGTGGATAAATGGAAGGATAAGTTAAAGCATCTAGGTTGGATAACAGGGATGGAAGGTTAGTGGAAAACTAAATGTGTGTGTGAATGCTGGGTACATGGATAATAGGATGCTAAGTAGATATTGAGTCGACAGACTGAAGAATGGCTGATGGAAGTTGGAAGAATACATGGAAGATGGACAGATGGGTGGTCCCTTAGAATGGATGTCAGAGGGACAGGCAGATGGAGATATAAATAGATGTATACTGAGTGAACACTGAATTTTTTTTTTTTTTTGGCCGGGGCTGGGTTTGAACCCGCCACCTCTGGCATATGGGGCCGGAGCCCTACTCCTTTGAGCCATAGGCACTGCCCTGGACATTGAATTTTTAATATAGCTAAGTGTTGTGTAGATTGTGGCAAGTGTGTAGAAAGATGGTTAGATAAATGGAAAAATAGAAGTTGGTAGAAATTGCATAGTCCTCTCTCAGTGTCTGTGGAGAATTGGTACCAGGATCTCCTACATATACCAAAATCCATGGACGCTCAAGGCCTTGATACACAATGGCACGGTGTTTGCATATAACCTATGCACATCTCCCATATAATTTAAATCATCCCTAGATGACTTACAATTCCTAACACTATGTAAATGCTATGTAGTAGATTTTCTGCTGTATTATTTAGGGTATATGTGTAATAACAAGAAAAAATCCCACAAATATTCAGTATAGGCGCAATTTTTTTCAAATATTTTTGATCTATGGTTGGGTGAATCCACAGACACAGAACCCATGGATATGGAGGGGCAACCGCAAATGAATGAAAGCTGGATGGATGTCGGTTCCATGAGTGAGTGGGAGAATGCTGGGTAAATATAGGTAGAGGGAAGGATAGATGATGGATAAGGGGTGAACAGACAGATGTTGGGTGAGTATATGGAAAGATGGATGGTGAGTAGATAGGTGGAAGTTTGATGGAAACAGAATACATGGATGAACGCAGGGCAGACATTAGGAGGGAAGGGTGCTGGGGAGACACAGTGTGGACAGGCAGAAGAACAGGTGTTAGATGGGAAGATGAATGTTGGACAGATGGAAGTTGAATGAATGGGTGGAGGTGGGCTGCATGGAGGTACGAGTACTAGATAGATGTTGAGTGACTGTGAGGCTGGATGGTGGGAACAAACTAGAGGGATACTGAAGGGATGGGTACTAAGCAAGCATTGGAAGTGCAGCTGGACAGCCAGATGGATAGGAAGCTGGCTGGACCACTGGATGGATGTTGGATGAGGGAATCAGCATGTGGATAGATGTGGAAGGAATTGGCCAACACTGGCTATGAGGCCCAGTTTCTCATCCCTGTCCCTCCCAGCAGGCACAAGAGGCACTTACAGTAAAGATGTCACCATGCCTCTCCTTCATCCTAGTGAGGAAGCTGGCAGCATCTTTTCCAAAGTCCAAGGCATAGCCCAACCAGGGGATGCTGCCCAAGTCCAGGGGAGGCTCTCCGGGTCGCCTGTAGAAGCCACAGAACTTATCACCCTTTGATAAGTCAAGGAAAGGAATGAAAAGTATATGTCATGGGGTATGATTTTAAAGGGAGAAGTCAGGGTGGTGTCACTGAGGATGAATAAGGCAGACCTGAAGGTGGTGAGGGAGGGAGACACAGCAGTATCTAGGAGCAGAGCTTTCCAGGCAGAAGGAGCAGCAAGTACAAAGGCCCTGAGGTTGGCTCACACCTGGTGTGATCAAAGAACAGTAAGGAAGCTGATGAGGCAGGATCAGAGGAAGCAGGGAGAAGTCACAGAGGTTGATGCTGGAGAGGTAACGGGCTGCCCTGTGCAGGGTCTGGGAGGCAGCTGTGAGGCCCTCAGGTTTTCCTTCAGAGAGGTGGGAACCATGGGAGAGTTTTGAGCAGTGCAGGGACATAATTTGGCTGAGGTTTCTATAGGATCCTTTTGGCTGCAGGGCAGAGAATGGACTGTGGGGGTGGGAGCAAAAGCTGGGGATCAGTTGACGTCTAGCACAGAGTATGGGGTCCAGTGGAGCTGGGGGCAAGGGCTTTGCAGCACCCCATAGCATAAGAACACAGAGGAGTTTGTCTGAGCCAGCGTGGACTAGGGTTTTGGTCATCTCATACTCCCTGTCCTGCCCAGAGACAGAGGTTGAGACTGGACAGCACGGTCGGGTGGCAGAAGGCAGTGGGAGCTCCTGCTTCATCTCTGCCCCCGACTTCCCCTCAACAGCTCAGAGTTTGAAGGACGTAGGCAGCAAGAGGCCAGGACACAGCCTCTAGGGATGTCCCAGGAGTACATGCTAGCTCAGCCCAGGGTGACACGGTTATGTGTGTGACAAAGTCAGAATCCTTTGTGAACGCAGAGGGAATATTTCTTGCTCACTGTGGCAGGCAGACTCCAGGTGACTCGCAGTAACCCCTACCTTTGTACAATGCCCTGCATCCAGTCAGAGACAGACGGTACAACTGACTTTAAGTAAAGTGCTCTCCTTAGAGGGCTGACCTACCAGGGACAGTGCCCTTCCTGGCAAAAGAGATTCAAAGCATGAGACGGATTTGGCAGAGGGGGAGTCTCTGCGGCTGGCTTTGAACATGGAAAGGGTCATGTGACAAGGAACTTGGGTGGCCTCAAAAACTGTGAGGGGCCCTCAGCTGACAGCAGCTGAGCTCAGCAGAGTCTTCCCTAGAGCTTCCCACTAGACGGGCAGCTCAGCCGACGATGCCTTGATTTCAGCCTCTAACCAAAGAACCCAGCCACACTGAGCTGGACTTCTGACCTGTCAAACTGAACTAACAAATCAGTGTTGTTTTGGGCTGCTAACTGTATAGTGCTTTGTTACCTAGCAATAAATAATTAACACATTCAAACTTACAGTACACTACCATTGTGCCCCAACCTGAGCCAAACCTCACCCCCTAATAGAGGGAAAGTCGGCTGTTGAGAACAGCAGTCAGGATCACAAGATGGACCTCACAACACTGCAGGGCTGGTGCTCACAGTGGACCCTCTGGAGGTCCCTAAACCTGGGTTAGGACCCCTGACTTAGTCTTAGAATTACTGGAGCCATAGGGATGCAGAAAGCTCCTAGATACCTGTCTGCTGACTGAATGAATGAATCATTGCAACCCTAATAATTCACTTGTTCATCAATTATTAACTATGAAGCAGGCACTGTCCTGGGTGCTGCAGGTGCAACAGGGGACAGGGCAGACCAGGTCTCTGACCTCATGGGGCTTGTGTATGAAAAAGGGAAGATAGGCCAGGTGCGTTGGGTCACACCTGTAATCCTAACACTCTGGGAGGCTGACGCAGGTGAACTACTTGAGCTCAGGAGCTCAAGACCAGCCTGAGCAAGAGTAAGACCCTTGTCTCTCCTAAAAATAGAAAAACTAGTTGGGTGTTGTGGCAGGTGCCTGTAGTCCCAGCTACTCGGGAGGCGGAGGCAAGAGGATTGTTCAAGCCCAAGAGTTTGAGGTTGCTGCAAGCTAGGACTCCAAGGCACTCTACCGAGGGCAACAGAGTGAGACTGTCTCAAAAACAAATTAATTAATTAAAAATAAAAATGAAAAGGGAAGATAGACAAAAAAGAAAAAAACCAAAAAGGCAAAATCACATCAGAGAGTGAAAACTGTGATGAAGAAAACAAAGGAGATACAGCTCAACCATGAAAAGACAAATAATCCCGTTTAACAATGTGCGAAGAACTTGAACAGGCAGCTCTCCAACAAAGACGGGCACGTGGTCCACAAGCCCATGAAAAGACACTCAGCATCATTAGCCATTAGGAAAGTGCAAACCGCGCCACAGTGAGGTGTCACTTCCCCCACTAGCATGGGCCTAATAAAGATAAAAATTCTGAAAAAGGAAAATAAGTGTTGGCGAGAATATAGAGAAATTGGAAGCCCCCCCCCCCATCCTAACGGGAATGTAAAATGGTGCAGTTGCTTTGGAAACCAGTCCAGCAACTCCTCAAAAGGTTAAGTATCATAATGTGACGAAAACATACACCAATTTTTAGACTATTGTTCACAGCTGCGTTATTCATAATAGCCAAAAAGTGAAAACAATCCAAATGCCTGCTGATAAACAAAATGAGGTACATCCATGGCACGCTACGTTATTCAGCCATAAAAAAAGAATGAAATTCTGATTCACGATACCATGTGGATTAACTTTAAAAACATTTAACTAAGCGAAAGAAGCCAGACACAAAAGGCCACAAATTATAAGATTCCATTTATATGAAATGTCCAGAACTGGCAAATTAATAGAGACTAGCAGTTGCCAAAAGCAGAGGGGAGGCGGAGTGGGGAGTGGCTGCTAATGGGTACATGGTTTCTTTGGGGGATGATGAAAACATTCTGGACCTAGCGGTGACGGCTGCACAGCCCTGTGAATACATAACACTAAAAACCAATGAATTGTACACTTTCTTTTTCTTTTTTGAGACAGAGTCTTAAGCTGTCGCTCTGGGTAGAGTGCTGTGGCATCACAGCTCACTGCAACCTCAAACTCTTGGACTTAAGTGATTCTCTTGTCTCAGCCTCCCAAGGAGCTGGGACTATAGGTGCCCACCACAACACCCAGCTATTTTTCTGTTGCAATTGTGATTGTTGCTTTAGCTGGCCCAGGCCGGATTCGAACCCGCCAGCCTCAGTGCATGTGGCTGGCACCGAAACCACTGAGCTAAGGGCGCCGCCAACTGCGCACTTTCAAAAGGGTGAATTTTAGATAATGTAAATTATATCTCATTAAAGGAAAAAGAAAGAAGGGTGAGGTGAGTCAGTAAGGGGGGCTAGTTTACAGAAGGCAGTCAAGGAAAGCTTCCCCCAAGGAGGTGTCGTGTGAGCAGAGACCAGAGGATGAGAAGGGATTCACCGGAAGGGTGGGGAGAAGAGTTACAGGCAGAGGGAACAGCCAGGGCAAAAGCCCTGGGGTGGGAACGCACTTGGTGAGGTTTTCAAGACAGCCGGAGCTGCATGGCTGGGGTGGAGAATGTCGGGGTGAGGGGCAGGTAAGGATGCCGCCAAAGTGAGAGTCTGGCTTCTATGCCAAGTGTGATGGGACCCACCGGAGGGTTTGAAGCAGGAGTCAGGAGACAATGAGAATATATTTTAAAGCAGTGGTTCTCAACCTTCCTAAGGCCGCGACCTTTTAATACAGTCCCTCATGTTGTGGTGACCCCAACCATAAAATGATTTTCATTGCAACGAAACGCGGCATTAGGAAGGTTGAGAACCGCTGTTTTAAAGGGTTGCAACAGAGAGGCAAGGATGTTAGGAGACCACGGTGATGTGTTGCATCCAAGACAGCAACATGGCAGAAGCAGAGGTCACGGTGCCCAGGGAACCTGGCCTAGCACCCGACTCCCCACTTCCAGAACAGGAGCTTTTCTCCAACCCCAGCAGCTCAAGGGAGCACCAGCTTCTCCTCATCCTTCTCTACCTTCCTCAACCCCTGCCTCCCACTCTCTGTCTGGCTGTCCCCCAACATAACCCCAAGGGTGGGGCAGGTGCTATACAGGAACAGATGAGCAGATCTGAGGGCCAGGGCTGGGGAAGACAGGAACAGAACCACAGAGGAATTCGAGAGCCTAGGAGGGGCCTCTCCCCTAACCATTCCCACGTCTCTCCCAGGCCCCTAGTCTGCCTCCCAGCCCAGCTGTTCTAGTCAAAGTGGAGCCTTGCAGATTCAAGCTCCAGGATCCTAAGGAGGTACCTCATCTCTCTGAGAGCCCCTGGGCCAAGGCAGCTTCTCCTGGAGGCCCCATGTGTCACACTGGCAGAGTAAAGTGTTGGAACCAGTTAGCTGGTGCATACCAGCCCCCTCTGAGTCAGAGCCCACAGGAGCAGTGATTTCTGCATAAGTAACAGGAGGGTGAGGTGGTTATGAGCCCAGAATTTAGCACCATTCTTGCTGGCTTCAAATTCCAGCCATGCTCTTGCTGGCTGTGTGACTTAGCTTCTCTATGCCTCTCTTTCCTCCTCTGTAAAATGGGCTACTGATGGCATCAGGCTGTGGTGAGGATGAAAGGAGTTACCCAGCACCAAGCTTGGGGCAGAGCAGCCGGCACCTGCTAGCCAGGGAGCAGCTCGGATGCAAGACCAAAAGACTCCAGGACACCATTTATTGAGCACCAGCTACACATCCAGCACCACGCTTTGGCGTTTTCCTTGCTTGCTAATAATGGCTAACACTTAGTGAATGCGCCTTGACAGTGTGGGATGCACCACACTCAGAACTTGACCCCATAATTCAATGAATCCTTCCCCTAGCTCCACAAGGAGGGAACTAGTACTGTCAGGCCCATCTTACAGAGGAGGAAACTGAGGGTCAAGGGGCGGAGACACTTGCCAGAGCTCCCTCCACCCCCAAAGAGGAGCTGGGTTTCTAGTCTAATCCAAGTAGGTCTGCAGAGCCTAGGCTCTTGACATTACCCGGCCCTCAGTCACCCCAAGTGGACATTTACAACCCCCCTTTGCAGATGCGGAAAATAAACACAGAAAGATTTCAGGGTCCTGTCTCAAAGCAAAGCCTAAGATTTTCCCTAAGGCATCTCTGCGGGTGGGGGGGCTTCCTTTCCCAGCCTTCTATCTGGGCTGCTGCCGGAGCCTCAGAGAGCCAGGTGTTATTTCTGGCCGCTTTCCTCTTTCCCCAGAAAAGTCCCAAGGAGACGCAGACAAAGGCAGGAAGCTGGAAACCCAGGCGCCAGGCCCCTGATGCGGTTGGCAGCGGGGCTGGTCGTGGGCTCCTCCAGCCCCTGCCCTCAATCCAACTCAGACCGGCCACATTCCAGGGTGACTCAGCCAGCAGCCAACAGTCAGCAGGGGCGAAGGAGGCTCTATTTTAAGGCCTGAGGGCTCCAGCCTCACCCACTGTTTTGAGGCCCTGCCAGGCTTTGGGGGACAGGGAGGAAAGGCTTAACCTTCCGGTCCTGGGCTCCCACCCACTCAGCCAACCAACAGTCACCTGCCCGTCCTGTGACATCTTTTCTGATTCTTCCCTAGAGCTTTAACTGCCATCATGTGGGTTCCTCTAAAAACTGCCCATTCCTCACTCACAGACCCCACTGCCAGCCCTGCCACCTGCCCTGTACCTCCCTTCCACTTGACTCTTTGCAGCCAGGGCAGGGAGTCCCGAGGGGGATCTCACTCGCCTCAGTGCCCCTGATGGATCACATCGCATCCTCACTTCATGAAAGGTCCACGAGCCCAGGGACTGTTGTTCACTTTGGCACTTAGAACGGTGCCGCTACCAGTAAACAGGTGCAGAACGGTGCCTGGTACCAGTAAACAGGTGCATAATAAATGTGTGTCAGATGAATGAATCATATGCACAGTCTGCGCTCAATGAGCGGCACCTGCCTCCCAGAGCCACAGAGAGGGTTAAGGGGGATAACGCTGGCAAGTTCCTAACACAGGGTCCATGTTCTAGAATGCTCAGAGCAGAAGCAAGTATTGTTTAGCTATGTGATGCTGGTAGATTGCCCCACCTCTCTGTCCAGTAGTTTCAACTCAATGCATGACCTCAAGCTCTGAAAGGATTTGATGGAGAACAAAAGGGCACTGAGTTACCCAGCTGAGTTGGAGCAACTTGAGCTTTTGTTTAATCTGCTTAATCTATTCTTCCCCCAGGGATCATCCACAGGCCTTTAGAGTTTTCCATCTGTCTTTAACAAACAGCCTCCCAGATGCTCTTCCACACCTCCTCACCTTGCCTCCAGCTGTGTAGAGAAAGTATGTGCCCTTCTTGCCCTAGTTTTTGTTTTCTATTTTTGAAACAGACTCAGAGAATTATTTCTCAACATAAGAAAAGACAGCAGAAGAAGTACAGTGATAAACAGAATGGCTGCATGTTGGAGAGGCAATAGGGAGTGGTGGGGACCGTGGCAAGGTTTAAAGTGGGCTCTCCTATGGAGTCCCAGGAAAGTATTGCCAAATCTTTCAATTTGTTACAAGTTTGAAATCTGGATTTCTGCATATGGAATTGCTCTATTTTCTCCCCTTGTACTGTGCAGCTCAAACCAGACCCAGCCAGGACTGAATGCAGCCGTGGACTACCATCTGGTTAGCACATGTTACAATGACACAGATTTATCTATACCTAGAAAGTCTGCATTCTGCAGGAGCCCAGAACAGCCACTGAGCCACAGGGGATGCCACTATGACCTCTGGATCCCTCTCTCACTGCTCCCAGCAACAGCCACTCAAGCCCAAAAGGAAGAGAGGTGCCCTAGCCTGATGATTCGGCAAGGGCCTGAGAGACCACCTCTGTGAGCCACCTCAGAGTACAGGTAGGGAAACTGAGGCCTGGAAAGCAAGAAGAAAGGTTATCCATAAGGCAAATCATTAGCCTCAATGGACCCAGAAGTCATCCGGCTAACTCTCAGCTCACTACCTTTTCCCAGGAGAAACTGGGCTTAAAAATCTTACAGTAATTGCAGAAATTTGTATTTGGACAGGGAACTAGATGACATTAAGAATTATTTTTTTTTATTCTCAGGCAAGATAATGGAATTATGATGGTCATTTTGGGGAGCTGTTCTGTTCTATTTTTTTAGAGACAGATTCTTATTCTGTTGCCCATGCTTAATTGCAGGCACCATCATAGCTCACTGTATCTTTGTTTTGTTTTTTTGAGACAAAGTCACTCTGTAGCCCTCAGTAGAGCACAGTGGCATCATAGCTCACAGCAACCTCAAACTCTTGGACTCAAGGGATCCTCTTGCCTCAGCCTCCCAAGTAGCTGGGACTACAGGCACCTGCCACAACACCTGGCTATTTTTAGAGACAGGCTCTTGCTCTTGCTCAGGCTAGTCTGAACCCATGAGCTCAGGCAATCCACCCACCTCAGCCTCCCAGAGTGCTAGGATTATAGGCATGCATCCACTGCACCCTGCCAGCAATTCTATTCTTAGTTACCATTACCATTATCTCCATTTTAAAGATTGGGAAACTGAGGCAGAAAGCAGTTATTCAAATTGGCCATATTTCAAAAGGCTGGAAGTTTCCATATGCTAAGAATACCGGGCACCCAGGTACCTTGCCCCCCAGTGTACCATGCACCTGGTACACAGCTGCCCCCCCCCATGCCCGAGGAAAGTGAAGATCATGAGATGCTGCAAAAAGAACACAGAACATGGCTCGGCGCCTGTGGCTCCAGTGGCTAAAGCACCAGCCATATACACCTAAGGTGGTGGGTTTGAATCCAGCCCTGGCCCACCAAACAACAATAATGGCTGCAACCAAAAAATAGCCAGGCATTGTGGTGGGCGCCTGTGGTTCCAGCTACTTGGGAGGCAGAGGCAGGAGACTCACTTGAGCCCAGGAGTTGGAGGTTGCTGTGACCTGTGATGGCAAGGCACTCTACCCAGGGGAATAACTTGAGGCTCTGTCTCAAAAAAAAAAAAAAAAGAAGAAGAAGAAGAACACAGAACATTGTCAGAAATGGGGAAAACACTGAAAATAACCTAGGAGTTCATCAACAAGAACGGGAATAAAAAGGAAGAAAGAAACGCACAACTTATTCATATTATGGATCTTGTACTACACAGAAGATCAAAAGAACAGATTTGAGATCCATGTAGCAGTATGACTAGATATTAAAACTAAAATCTGGAATGGAAAAAAAGCAAACGCACAGCCCCCAAACATTTCTATACAGAGCATTGAAAAAGCCTGCCAATTTAGGAAGAATAATTCATCTCTTCACCGGGAAATGTATTAGTTATATATTTTTTTATTTTTTCCCAAGCAAATGATGGAATATATTGTTTGAACCCGCCACCTGTGGCATATGGGACTGGCGCCCTACTCCTTTGAGCCACAGGCGCCGCCCGAATATATTGTTTTAAATTTCACCCCAAAAGGTGTCTGGCGATGGAAGAAAAATATAGTGAGCTTATGTTTGAAAATTCAACTAACACATTGTTTAAAAAGCAAGAAAGTTCCCCACATTTCTGGATTTTTCAAACACTCTAAACACACTCACTCTCTCGCTCTGCTCCGGATTTTCTACACGCTCATGTCTATGTAAGTCAGAGTAATTTTAAAACATCTGGGAGACTGAGGAGCTATCACAACTAAAGGAATGTGGTACCTTGGACTGGATCCGGGAACAAAGGAGGCTATCAACAGAAAACTGATGAGATCCCAGTGAACTCTGAGGTTTAGTTACAGTAAAGAACCTGTGTTCAATTTTTCAGTTGTGACAAAAGTAACATAGTAACAACAGGGAAAAGAGGGTGAGGGAAATGTGGGAACTCCTTGTACTGTCTTTCCAAATTTTCTGTAAACCTCAACCTAGTCTAAAATTGAAAGATTTTTAATGTATTGAACTATTCAAGTCAATTTTTAAAGCATTTTATGAAAAGAAGCCCTGGTGTCTCCCTGATTTGAGGCGTAAGAGTTTTCTGTTTTCTCCTGAATCGCAGTTTCTCAATGGGGCAGGGACCTGGAGGTGGCGACATCTGGTCCCCGGTTCCACCCTGGCTGTGGGATCTTGGAAGAGTTGGAGGAAGTCCTCAGTTTCTCCCCCTCACCCCATCCCCAGCAAATGAAAGCACTAAGCCTACTGACTAGTCCTCGTCCAGACTGGGAAGGTGACGGAAGATGGCTACAGGGTGCGATCAAGACATTCTGCAGCCTCAACTGTCTCATCTGTATAATGGGCTGAGGAGCGAGGCCACCCCATAGGGCTGCTGAGAGCAAGGCAGAGTCTGACGACAAGCAGGTTGAAGAGCAGGCGAGGGTTCTTCCACCTGGGTCACACCGAAGCTATCCACACACCGACTCCTCGCCCTCAGACCCCAGGTCCTCACCCGAAACCCCTTCCCGGGTCCCAGCCATTACGCTAAGGGCCAAACCTGGACACCTCGCGGCGGGTGTTCAGCCCCCGGGACCCCCACAACTTTCCACCTTGCGTCTTCTTGGCAGAGGTAGCTCGGCCCCGCTGGTCCCCTGGTGCAGGGCCCTGGGACCCTCCTCCCAGAGGTTCGGCGTCCTTTTCGCTGCAGCCTGGGTCAGCAGGAGCAAAGATGTCCCCTGTCCAGCGGGGCTGGGTGGGGGGCGCGGGCAGGGCACTCACCGCGTGCGCCGGCGGGTCAGCAGCAGCAGCAGAAGCAGCGCGGCCAGGAGGCCGAGGAGCGCGGCCCAGGACATGGTGAGGCCCGCGGCTGGTGGCTGACAGCGGAGAAGGCGACCGGGGGCCTCCTCAGGTAAAGCCCACTGCCCAGCGCCGGAGTCCCGCCACCCGCCGAGGGGAGGAGCCTCCAGGTCCGCGGGGAGGACAAGGGTGCGCGCAGAGACCCCTCTCCACGCGCCCCGAGGGACACGCCCCCACCACTCGGGCGGGGATGGAAAACGTGGGAGGGAGGGAAGGAGGATGGAGGGGGGGACGGAGGAGGAGGTGTGGTGGGCTGGGAGGGATGATGGAGGGGAGGGCAAGGGAGGGGCTGTGTGGGAGAGGGGAGAGGGCTGAGGGCAAAGAGAGGAGAAACTTGACGCGGAAGGAGGCATGGGGAGAGAGGGCGATGGGGGAGGAGGGAATGCGGTGGGAGGGCAGGGGGGTGCGTTCCGGTCAAGTTCCGCGTTCCCTCTAAGCTGACCGGACCACCCCACCACCCGTCCGCTTCCCCAGCCCAGACACGTTGAGATCCTTGGGTTTTCTGTTCTGCGGGTCTGGGCTGGATTGTATTGTGTCGCAGTGTCTGGTATCTTCGATAACTACAGCGCGGGAGTTCCAAGAGCGACTCAGGCTTTGAGTACACACGTGGTCGCCCACCATAAGGGACGGAGGGAAGCACTCGCCCTGCACCTGGAGAGTGTTAGGGACTCGGGTCGTTATCACGACCACCTGGTGCTTTGGGTGCCAGCCCTGTGCCGGTGCTCTCTGCAAGGGACCACCCCAGGGTACTGGTGAAAACCTAGGCTCCCCCAGGCTTACTGCGTGCCCTTTCTCCGTTTATACCCTGGGAAGCCTTGGGCAGGTAATTTAACCTGAGTACAGTTTCTTACTCGGAAACACGGGGTATAGACTTGTACTTAACCCAGGGCGTGGTTGTGAGGAATTGATGAGAGCTTGTTGGTAATAAAAGGGAATTGCAAACTGTTGAGGGCTTGGCACCTATAGGTTTTATGAAACAATGGTCGTAGCATAGAGCTGGGACCCATAGTTCTGTCTCTGCCTGCTCACTGGGAGATGAGCTTAGATGGGTCTCATTCCAGGTGGTGATCTGGAGAAGCTATTCCTCCTCCCTGGTTTCCTGGGGCTCCAGGCCTCATCCTCCTAAAGTAATCATAAGTCAGATCCTGTCCCTGAATCCAGCTCAGAACCTTCCCTGGCTCCACCTCCCTCTGCACAGTCAGGGTCCTTCCAAAGTGCTGTAATAATCAGCATGTTCTGGGCCACCCCACCTTTACCTCCCTGACCTTGGACCCCCAACTCTTCCTGGGTCTACCCTGCTCCAGCCACACTGATCTTCTCATCTTTTCCCAAATGTTCCAACCTCTCTCCCACCTCAGGGCCTTTGCACTTGCTGTTCCCTCATCCTGAAAGGTTCTTCCCTGTGAGACTTGCACACCTCATTATTTCTCTTGTATCCCTGTCCCTCTGTCTCTGCTTAGCTGTCACCTGAGAGAAGCCCTCCCTGACCATCTGCTCTAAAGCCGTCACCCCCATCACTCTGTTACCTTAACTCATTTGTTTGGTTTGGGGTTTTTTGGTTGTTTCTGGCAGTACTTCACACGTCTCTCTATCATATTAGACTTTCATTTATTTGTCTGCTTAATGTCAGCTGTCAAGGCGGCCGGATGACCTAGCAGATTCAGAACAGCAAGAGGCAAAGAGGAGTTTCCTGAACCTCTTGTTTATTTATCCAGCTTATCCTCCAGGGAAGCCAAGAATCCCAAAAAGGCTGCAGAACAGGCCTGGAGGGTTTTCTCCAAATTTGGGGAGCTCCATGGGGCTGCCTTCTGGCAGTGGGGTTCACAGCTCTGCTGGCCAATACTCAGCTGTGTGACCCCAGACAGCCTGGCCCACCTCTGCAAGCTGGGAAAAAGAGAACTAGGGGATAAGGTAAGGAGCTGTCACCTCATGCAGTGACACACCTATCTGAGTGCCTGACACGCAGTGAGCATTAGTGAAAGTTAACTGTTACTCACATTTATTTCCACTTCAGCATCTCATCCTATCTGTAATCAAGGCTTGGACTGTTTTCTCATCATGCAGTGACACACCTATCTGAGTGCCTGACACGCAGTTAACAGCGAAAGTTAACTGTTACTCACGCTTATTTCCACTTCAGCATCTCACCCTATCTGTAATCAAGGCTTGGACTGTTTTCTCATCTGAAAAATGGGAAGAACAATTCCTTCCTCAAAGGCCCATTGTGAGGACTGAGTTAAATGACAACAGATGAAATCACCCAGCACAAGGACTGGCACATAGTAGGTGCTCAATAACTGTCAGCTCTTGTACTCCTCACTCCTGGCTTCAGTGCAGACCGGTGTCTCCTTAGCATGACTCTCCCCCAAATACCCTCTTCTCACCTCAACCCAGGGACAGAATCCTCCCAGGCGAGGAGGAGCAACTACTTGGAACCAAAGAGGGAAGAATGTGTTGGTGCCTCTGACTTTGTTCAGGATTTGTCCTGAGTTTGTTCAGGCACTAGCAGGTGTTTATAGGAAAGTGAACAAACCGTCACTGGTCTGAACCACTCAGGGACATCCCTCTTTGCTGCTATGTCCAGAGATACGTACCTTCTGAATGTCTCGTGGGAGCTTCTAGAAAGTCCCCTACTTGCTTCCTCTTCTATTCTGGGGAGCAGGGCACAGTGTTGGAAGGGAAGGCCGGGAAAACTGTGGAACCCCAAACCAGAGCTGCCGATAAACTTTCCTGGAACCACCCACCGCTAGATTTCTCATTGAATGAGATAACCAAATGTCTGTGTTAAGACGCCGTGACTCAGATTTTCTCTTACTTATGGCTGAAAACATTCCCATCCGAGACAGCCTTCCAGTTATGGCTGTGTGCAGGGCTAAATGAGGCAATAATGCATCCACAGCACCTCTCCCAGGTCTGGCCCATGGTGATCATTCATCTTATTATTTTTACTTTATTACCATACAGACTTTCTATATTTATCAAGCTGATAGAGTATCCAGCAATCTGGCTACGGCATCTCGCAGGAACAGGCAGGCTCTGAAAAATACCGAAAATTCTACACTCCCCTGCTCCATGAGGACTGAAAAGACTCTGCTGAGGGCGGGGCTGGTTTGAGGGAAGATTGGCCCCGACCCAATCTCATGGGGAAAGGGCTGGAATACACAAGGACTTGAGAGCCAAGTTCAGCTTTGGCAGAACAGTAAACAAGTTGCTTTACCTTCACCTCTCTGAGGCTCATTTGTGCCATGGATGTGCTGCTGGGCAGGGGGGTCACCCCATGAGATTCCAACTTTAGCATCTAAGTCTTCTTCTGGGACATGACCCCCAATATCAAGTGGACTTTTAGGAAAATTCCTTCTCCCAGCAACGAGCATCCAGACACCCCCCTGCCGGAGTTTCAGTGCATCCAGATGTCCACTATCCAGTGGAAACAAGACATCTGGGCAACTCTCCCCGTCCATCCAGCCTGTGCTCTGTAATCTGGCTTCTGTAGGGTCGTGAAAATAATGTCCAGACTCAGCCCACTCAGAACACAGGGGACTCTGCCTGGGAAAGGGCAGCCCTCTCCTCCCCGCGCCCCTGCTTTAAACTCCTCCAAGGACTAGGTCTGGTTCATGTCTACATCCTAAAGACTACAAACAAATTGTGTCAGAAAAGCAAAATATTGTGTGTGTGTTGCTCTCTTCAAAGCTAAAACCCAGCCCCATTCAAGAGGGGCAGTTTTAAATATTTTTCAAAATGCTAGCTCTAACTTTGGTCACTAACTTATGCCACTTGAAACTTTTTTTTTTTTTTAAGACAGAAGTCTCGCTTTGTTGACCTTGGTAGAGTGCCATGTCGTCATAGCTCACAGCAACCTCAAACTCTTGAACTCAAGCAATCATCTTGCCTGTTTTTCATTTTTATTATGGATGGTGTTTCACTCTTGCTCAGGCTGGTCTTGAACTCCTGAGCTCAAGTAATCCACCCTCCTGGGCCTCCCAGAGTGCTAGGATTACAGGCATGAGCCACCACACCCGGCGGACGTGAAACACTTTTTAGTAATAACTCACTTAATCCCCACAAGGACCCTATAAAATGGGAACTGTTATTATGCCAAATTTGCAACGGTGAACCCAAAACCCAAAGAAGGTCAGTAACTCACCTAAGATTGGTCCCACAGTACTTCCTCTGACAAACCAGAGCATGGGAATTTGATGTCTTCTTAGGACAAGCTAATTTACTCCCTCATGCTGTGAGCACCCCTTCCCACCCCCACACCTCGGCTCCTGCTGTTAACCTGCCTGGAAGGCCCCTCATGGTTCTTCCTTTCCATTTATCCAAATCCATTATGGGAAGGCTTGTTAGTCCAGGGCCTCTGAGACAGCCAAGCTGAGATGATTTACTGGGGTGAATGGCAGGGAGGAAAGTGAGGAGGGAGCCAGAGGAGGCTGGGAAAAGGGATGGGAAGAAGGCAAAGGAGTCAGGGAGAGAGGGAGGGACAGAGAACGGGAGGATTGTGGGCTGCAGCGGAGTTCTAAGGAAGTTCATCAAGGCCGATAGGATGTCCTCAAGCCTCCAGAGGAGCCCTGTGTCTCCCAGGAACTGACCTGCCCCACTCAGGGATTGGCTGGGAATAAGGCCTGGGAAGCATGGTCCCTCTGTCAATTAAGGACACATACAGGAGATCTCAGAGGTGCGTTTTCATGGCTGCTGCAGTTTTAGAAAGTACAGCTGCAAACTAAAACCAAAAAAGCTGACTTGACTTCAGAAACTTATAGAAGCTGGCTCAGTGCCTGTAGCTCAAGTGGCTAAGGCGCCAGGCACATACACCAGAGCTGGTGGGTTCAAATCCAGCCCAGGCCTGCCAAACAACAATGACAACTACAACCAAAAAAATAGCTGGGCATTGTGGCAAGCGCCTGTAGTCCCAGCTACTTGGGAAGCTGAGGCAAGAGAATCACTTAAGCCAAGGAGTCAGAGGTTGCTGTGAGCTGTGACGCCATAGCACTCTACTCAGGGTGACATCTTGAGGCTCTGTCTCAAAAAAAAAAAAAACAGAAAGAAAGAAACTTATAGAAGCTGAAC